CCTCCTGTCCACCCCAGCGAACATTTGCTTTCTCTGGGCACACACTCTGACTTACCACCCTCATCAATTCCACTAGCTCTCGTCTTCCCTGCTTCCAGAGACCTCTGCAAATCTGAACCTCAAGAAATGGCTCTCCAATGTCTTATAAAAAAAAAAGACATAAACAAGATCCGATCAGCTTGGCCTGTGGGAGTCTCCGCCATCTATCTGCCTTCCAACTAACTTAAGTCAGGAGCATGTTTTAATAGATGTGGTTCTGATAGAGGAGAAACCACGCAATGCAGGGCAAACTTTTCCAAGACCAAAAAACCACCTCGAGGCTCATTAGTTGGCCAATTAATTTTTCTATTTATAGTAGAGACGGGGTCTCGCTCTTGCTCAGGTTGGTTTCGAACTCCTGAACTCAAACGATCCTCCCGCCTCGGCCTCCCAGAGAGCTAGGATTACAGGCGTGAGCCACCGCGCCCGGCCTATGTCTTTTTTTTTTATAAGACATTGGAGAGCCATTTCTTGAGGTTCAGATTTGCAGAGGTCTCTTGGAAGCAGGGAAGACGAGAGCTGGTGGAATTGATGAGGGCGGTAAGTCAGAGTGTGTGGGCCCAGAGAAAGCAAATGTTCGCTGGGGTGGACAGGAGGAGCAAGCTGAGAGAGGTTGCTAGGACAGAAGGAACAAGGGTTAGGGACTCGATTGGGGTGTGGGCGACAGGCGGGCGAGGTACAGGGTAGACTGCCAATCATGGCGTCCACCCGATGCCCGGCTCATTTTTTCTATATATATATACTTGTTAGCCAATTTAATTCTGTTCCTTTTGTAGTAGAGACGGGGTCTCCGCCTCTTGCTCAGGCTGGTCCTCAAACTCCGTGACCTCGGAGCCGATCCTCCCCGCCCTCGGCTCCCAGGTGGATCGGGATTGACAGGCGTCGAGACACCGGCGCACCGGCCGCAGAGTTTGACCTTTTTTACTTTGATCAGTGTATGCAGAACCCGGAGAACGTAGTGGTGGGTTGGGAGTCGAGGGTGTGGGGTGCTCCACTTTGCGGGAAGATGGGGCCCTCAGCCGAGCCGGCGGCCACTCTCGGGGAGAGGCTCGCCCCTGCACCTGTACCCGTCCTGTCCCATGTTTTTTTTTTTTCCTTTTTTGGAGGAGAGGGGTGCTGCCCGCCTCCTTTGAGACTGGGGTCCATGACGCGGCTCTTCTCCCCTTCCCCCAGTGTCTGGATTCCAGAAACCGCCGAGCCAAGCAGAGGAACACGGAGCGGTCCTTCTGCTCCAGCCACTGGCCCATCTGGCTCCTGCCGCCTCTCTGGTTCCTTCACCCGAGTCCCTGCCTGCCCGCACCCCTATCCTACACAACGCTCCTCCACCCAGTGCTCCACCTCACCTCCTCCCTACAACACGACCCTTCCCTCCCAGCCGGCCCCCAGGTGGCCTTTTCGTTCTTCCACACCCAGCCTGGGAACTGGGTAAACGCCACCCTGCACCACCACCCAAACACACAACGATATACAAAAAAATACAAACCTGTCCTCAACACACAACACAACAATAACAACAAAAAGCTATACATCAGCCTTGAAACACAGAACACAAAGAGATACCACCATAGTACCACACACACACACACACACACCACAAAAAAAAAAAAAACAAAACAAAAGTGATCAACATACAAAAAAGGCCACATAAAGGTGACCAACATCAAAATAAAAAGACAATAAAACAACAAAAAAAAATACCATGAGGGGTTTCCCTGTAATAAAACAATATAATATTCATAAAGGCAGGACAGCAACAAAAACAAAATACAGAGCCAAGTAAAAATATTAAAAAAAAAAAAGACCAAACCACCAAAAGGGGCGGGTGGCTCACACACTGTGTGGCATTCTGGGAGGCCCCGGAGGGCGGGGGATCAGTTGAGCTCAGGAGTTTGAAACCAGCCTGAGCAATGAGGAGACCACCCGTCTCTAACTAAAATTAGGAAAAAACATTATCTGGGGCAACTGACAAACACGAAAAAAAACGTAGCCAGGTGGTGGCATGTCACGTGGCCTGTAGTCCCAGCTACTCGGGGGAGGCTGAGCGCAGGAGATGAGCTTGAGCCCAGGAGTTAGCTGACGGCCTGATCCACGGCGCACTCTACCTCATCTACGCCTCGGGCAACAGGTGAGACTCTGTCTTACAAAAATAAGAAAAGGACAGATAAATTCTCACTGAGGTGATTATATGGAAGAATTCTCAACGAAAGGTGACGAACCTCTACAGAACGACACAGGTTAAAACGCCGTCCGTGGGAGGCGAGGGGAGACCCGTGGACGCAGGGCAAACTCCCCAGGGCCTGGACTCGGAGGGCGCTTCCCATTCACAGAAGATTGAGGACCCTCTGAAGACCCCTCCTCACCGCCGCCTCTGTCTAGCCGACTTCACTCAGGCCTTTTGATCGGCAGTGCTACCGTCTGTACCTGTCCAGCCCACGCCGCTGTCCGCCCACACTCACACCCAATCGAGTCCCCTAAAATCCCCGTTGTTCCTTTCTGTCCTAACGCGAACCTCTATCTAGGTTTGCTTCCTGTCCGACCCCCACGCGAACATTTGCTTTCGTGCGTGGGCCCACACATCTGACCTTACCGCCCTTCATCAATTCACTAGCTCTTCGTCTTCCCTGCTCTCCAAGAGCCCTCTGCACATATCTGATCGCCTCAAGAAATGGCTCCTCCAATGTCTTATAAAAAAAGAGCATAACAAGATCCATCAGCTTGCGCTCGTGGGCAGTCTCCCGCATCTATCTGCTCCAACTAACTTAATCCGGAGCGCTTTTTAATAGATGCTGGTCTCTGATAAAGGAGAAACACTGCAATGCAGGCAAACTTTTCCAGACCCAAAAACACAACTGAGGCTCATAAAGGTCATTTCCCACGAAAAGGACTTCCTTTCTGGGAC